GGTAAGACTAACATGCAAGTGCTCGACGGACATCCAACTAATACCTCAAAGTCATCTACTTCTTCTTCCCAGAGACCGCCCGCTTGACTTTGGAAGAGATCGCGAAGAACTTTGGCGAAGAAGTTGCCGTTCATCTCACCGATGCGACCGACGAAGAGAGAGCCCAGCTGGAGCGAACTTTTGTCGATCGGAAAAGCAGTGTGCCATCTGAGCCAACTGAGCCGACCAAAGTGTTTGAGGCAAAGGCTGCTTAGAGTCTGGATATTGACCTTGACATCAATTATCGATCGTTGACATTCGTTATATAGTAGGGCCCTTGTTGAAGGCACAAAATTCGCTGCTCACAAACCGAAGTACAGTTGGATTTTGCTTTCAAGACAGCTTTACAACATGTCTGTACCGAGCTCCGCTTCGAGGATGGATCAAACATAGATCATATTATAACATCGACAGTCATTGGATAATGCGGGCGAAGCTACCTTTACTTTCCTTTTCTATTGATAGAAGTGATACCTATACCCTCTTTGATGTGTACACATATTAATATATCAGAATGAAGGGCTCGGAGTCTGTTTCCAGGCAGCCAAGAGACCATTTCTGGGCCGAGGAACCAGCTGGACTAATCCAGGTAAATGAAACACAATTGTCTTACAATTCTTCAGTCACACGTCCCTGATGCTCAACGGCCAAGGCTGCAGAATTCGGCCTTCCCGCTGGTCATTATTATTGTCCATGTTTCAGACAGCAACAATTCCTTCATTATCAAGTCGATAGATATCACCGGATCTACATCATGATTTCCTTCTTGAATGTAGACCTGTCTAGCGGTCTAATTTTAATGGCATCCAAACAATGGACTAACCATACTGTGCAGAACGCATCCTTCTTGGCGACGGTATTCTTAGCATCGCCACTATACAAGTGACCTCATGTCTCACTTGATGTGGAGAAAACTGGAGAAGCATGATACTATCGCCTCGACTCTCCAGACCACCTCAATCCTCGGTTGGCTTCCGAGACATAGGAGAACACAGGGTATATAAGGAGCTTCAGGACCTCTACCGATAGCATCGCAACATCAACATCAGCACCTCTCATCTCAACGAACACTACTACACAGTCAATCAACAAGCTATCAAAATGAAGCTCACCACCGTTCTCTCTCTCGCCCCCCTTCTCGGCGCCGCAGCCGCCCAGGGACAACAAGAAGAACCCTTCACCCTCAACGTCCGCTGGTCCAACAGCATGGGAACCCTCCAGGGTCCCGTGAACGCCAACGCCGGCGCCTTCTGGGTCGGCAAGCCTACCGCCCCCTTCTGCCCGGAGACCGTCAAGGACTGCCCAGCCGCCGTGAACACCACCTCGTTCGTCTCTCAGGGCTCGAAGCTGTTCCTCAACGCCGCTGTTCCCGGCGGTCAGCAGGGTATGTCCCCATTTCCCCTTCCCCCATAGTATTTGGCAGCGTTAGCTAATGATGGTGTACAGTCTACTTCTCCCCCGAGGGCGAGCTGACCTACACAATCCCGCACAGCGGAAACATCCCCGACGGCTCGCTCACTGACCTCCCCATCATGAAGGACGGCTTCCTCAACCCGTTCCTGACGCTGTGGCTGTGCTCCGTCGACAAGGACGCCAAGCAGTGGAAGGTTTGGGCCGAGTACACGAATGGCACTACGGGTGCGATCACCAACAATGGCTCCAATGGGCAGAATGCTTGCACGAGGATGTCGCTCGAGGCAGAGCCGTATAATGGAGAGAAGGCTTGGGAGTTCTAAGCTGAAGCCGTTGGATTCCTTAAGCGGAGCTGGTAGCTGTTGGGGTGTCAATTTGTGAGGTATTAGATAGATAGCGAGTTACAGTAATAAGATCAGTTCTTACTACATTGGTATAGTTTCTTATTGAAACACCGTGGTAGTTGCATTAAGCGTTCGAAGCAGACAGAGTCTGTTCTCTACATCTAGCTAAGGCTACCTATGGCCTATATTTTGATCACCTTATTATTGCATGGCCAACGGGATTCTGTCGGCACCGCGAGTATAGCGACTTGACTAGCATGGTAATAATATGATTGGTGGCTGTTATGTTGAGTCGTCGCAGCAGACTGGGTCATCTTATCTGATTATGCCGAGTCTGGTAGAAACCTTCGCATGGAACCATATCGGGCACCAAGATGTCTTATTAAGATCCACACAATGAGATCTCATGAGGCATCAATGACTACACTCACCCAGTGAACCTGGAAAAGATTTCCTTCACCCGGAGTCATTTTCGGAATCCTTGGGCAGCATGACACTTGATGGAGGGTAGCACAATGCGACGACACAGCCTGAATAAGGTGCTTGATGAGACAATTAAACTTTCGAAAGCACAAAGGAGCGGCAGATCTCGTCGGATTAGGAATGGCATCACATAGGTAGCATGTCGAGGACAGGTGCCTAGAAAGCGGGATCCTCCCTGCTAGGCCGACTCAGAGACTCAAAGCAAACCCCGGAGTCTTCACTTGCGGAATGCTCCCCGAATGACGAGAGACAAGAAAAGGGAGGATCCGCGCCTCTCCGTGATGTGGGAGAGCGATTTCCCAGAGGAGAATCCTCGGAGGTATGTGTTCTAATAAGCTCTCGGGAACCGGGATAATTTTTTGGCGAGGCCGTAGTAGCTGTTTGAAGTTCAGACACGCGCAAGGAGCTGCCATGATGGACTGCGCGTGTGAGACAAGAGACGACTCACATATGACATGGACGTGGATGGCCAAAGTTCCAAACACATTCTTCACATGACCAAATTCCGGATGTTTTCGATAAGGTATTGGAAGAAGGGCTAATTGCTGTCACTTACGATCCTGAAATAGTTCTCGTCGTCACGACTCTGCTTACTGACAAGAAACGGCCTACCAAAGAGAGTTATCGCTTTCAGCGAAGACCATGGAAACAAGCTCGAAGAAGCCCATGGCAGAGATGACAGCCAATGGCTTCGATGGCTCATGGCTGTGCTCAGGCCCACCACAAGGACGGACGGCGATCACGGAAAGCAGGATCGACCTTCTGCATTCGAGAATCAAGGATATTGTTTCAGTCCAACCGATTCTGCGGGATTGCAATCAGCTGAATCAAACAAGGTGGTGAGGCCGCTTTGGATGGTGGAAAGTTGATAACGCAAGAGTGGACCTTCGATCGCACTTGGCGTTACATTGACTTTGGAGGAACAGAAAGCACCAAGTCCTGCCATGCGTTTCACCGCGACCGTGAGTCTATGACCTCGAGTCTTAAAAGCTACTTCTCAACGGGTGCCAGAGGTAAGTCCTCGCCGTAGTTACTCCTGAAAGTCTCATGGTATGGTAGATGATTGATTATCTGCTCCGTATGGGGCCAGAACAGTGAATCGTCACTAGAATTCCGGCCTCCACTAAAATACGAGGAGGCCCCTGAGTCCAGGTTTTGGTCGCAGTTGACGACTATTGGTTAGATAGTTCTGCTGCAGGGCATGATATATCCTCTTCGAATCAGAGACAAGCAGCCAGACACTTCTTTCAGCGTAGACTCGGCATTAGCCTGCTTTAGTTTCGCAAAGCGATCCCGCTAGAAATCGGCCGATAGCGGCCACGCATGATTGGGGAAGAATCCGGCAATCGAGGATGTAGAATAAATGGTAGAAAGCAAAGGAAGTCAATGGAGGATTGCCCCAATACATAACTACTATTGCTTGTCGCGACTCGAGATGGGTGCGGTAGAACCGCTGACGAGAATCTGGATCCGAACATCATTTGTTAGCAACCGTGGGGGAGAGTGGCCCACTGTTCCCAGTCAGACACGGGTACGATCGGGGCTTCAGGCAAGTGGGAACTGGACGCCTCGAGTCTTCCAGGATCGAGTCGAATCACGAATAAGAATAGCCGAACGAGGCATTTTTCCCTTTCACACATTTCTGGGATGCGGATTCTGGACCAGTCGCAATCAGCCGGGCCCGTGTGATTCTAATGCGATGCACAGGGTAACCTCCACTGACTAGACTAAGGCACCGGTGGTCATGGATCGTCTTGCCAAATAATAATCATCCACGAGGCACCAGGACCACGAGGAGAAATTGGCACAGCATGATCACCCACTAGGGTCGATCATTATCACCATATCGTCATTCATCCTCATCCATTGGCAATAGCTCAGGTCCTGAACGTCGAAACTGGTTTCGGGACTGGTTCTGGAATTGGAATTGGGAGCATACGGATCGACTCCATCCGTGAGGCTGATCATCGAATTCCAAGGACAGAAGTTGAGTTTGTCCGTCAAGAATAAGACTTGGAGATAAGACTAGGGGTGACTCGGGTGAGGAGTGAGGACCGCAGGTGGAAACGAACAACAAAGTTTGACAATCTTCCGTAAATCTTAAATGGGCTGTTAAGAGGTAGGTACTTCCGTAATAACAATAGTAATAGTAATAACAATGGACTCATGATGAATGCTTTGAGCTGAGCTCAGTACTCCGTAGTCCGTACAGCGGTCGGGGACTGACTCCCCAGAAATTGTCCCCTCCCCAAGAATAAGAAAAGTAAGTGATGATGAGCATGAGCTTCCTACTCTTCCCCCCGCCCGATCCGGTGATTCGCCGCTCATTTCTCTTTCTTTCTCCGACACAACATAACCTCCTCATCACTGCAAGTGATTGCAACTGATCCCCCCTCATTATTATCTATCTATCTATCTATCTACTACTTCTCATCTATCCACCTCCTCAATATTTTTCCATCCGATTCTTAGTATTTTTGGATGGTGTGTCACTAAGTTTGCCGTAAAAAAGTATCCCATCATCCCGGTCTCATCTTTTTTGCTTCTGTCGGGATTCCTAGCTATGATTATTACCGTTCGAATCGATCGTTAATTGTGCCCCGATTTTGGCTTATTATCATTATTCTCCGGTCAAACCACTGGTCTCCTCTACCTCCTCCCCATTCTCAGCTTCATGTCGCTGCCTTTTAGTTCGGTATCGTGACTCTCCTTCTCATGGAGATGCATACAGTGGTGTTACCCCCCGGAAAGCCTGCTCCTCCGCCAACTGCGCAACCCCAAGCCGCCGCGGCTCCTGCGCCAGAAAAGAAGAAGCGCGTGCGTCGATGGCATCGCCGTGGGTTTACAGGTTGCTTAACCTGTAGGCGACGTCATGTTCGTTGCGACGAGGCCTCTCCTTCATGCAAGAATTGTACCCGTTTAGGCCTCGATTGCGATGGAACTCAAGGTCGAATGACTTTCAAAGTGTATGGCCCATCGCAAGGTGCACAAGACGTGTCCCAGAGCCCGAACAATAGCAACGCGGCAAATGCAATAACGGTCAAAAATCAGCAATTGGATATCAAGCATGTCAAGCAGGAGCCCCAGGACGATAAGGATGATCTCGTTGATGGCATAGTGATTTCTCCGACGACCATTACCGACTCGGCTCCGGTCAAATATCGATTCCAAGACCCCATGTCTCCTTCAGGCTTCATGCCCTCGTTAGATTTCGTAGAGGGCCGCTACTATACCCATTTCATCGAACAGGTCGCAACGTTGCTCCTTATCTACGATAATTCGAATAACATCAACCCGTTTCGACAATACTTTCCCGAACTCGCTCAGTCCTCACCATCCGTGGCAAGCGCCATGCAAGCGCTTGGCGCGTTGCACCTCGCAAATACATCCACAGGCCCAAAGCGCAATGTACATTTCCAACAAGCAATGGGCAAGTATGGAGAGGTGGTAAAGACCTTTAGGACGAGGTACACACATCCCGACCACGAAGTTCAAATCACAGACTTTGCAACTTGTCTCTTGCTGTCTTTATTTGAGGTAGGTAACTCCGCGACGGCACCAGTCAGCTCCTCGCTAACCTTATCTGATTTAAACCAGATGATGGATTCCGGACATGATAATTGGGCGATCCATCTCAAAGGCGCTCGCGAGATCTACAAATCGTTATTTTTATCGAAGAGAAGCGACCCTGCAAAAGAGGCCCAACGGCTAGCGGAATCGAATCATCCCCTTCGACATTTTCTCATTTCCCTTCTTTCCTATCTCGACGTCGCGGGCGCATGCAATACCAGCGAAGGCACTGTAGTGGAAGGAAGCTACTGGAGGACGCATGGAGGCGGATGGGAATACAATCTAGGCACCCCGAGTCTGTCATCGTCCACACCCGGCGATGACCGGTTGAACGAGCTACGGCAATGCTGGTCCATCATGATGGAGATTCAAGCCGACATTAGCGCTTTTGGAAAAGCGAAACATGAGAAGTGGCTCACGCCTGCGCAACAAGACGTCATTTACGGTGACTTGCTGAACCGCCTCGTTCAATGGCGCGCAAATGCACCGCAATGCATCCAGCAGCTAGGCGAATTAAACGACGAGAGCCTACAACAATACCAATACCCGGAAGTTATGGAGTATGCCGGATGTATCGAGGCCTATGAGAAAGCGACGATCATCTTCTTGCACAAAGTGATCGCGGCTGAACGTCCCGATCGTCCTCCCCAGACACCGTTCCTGCAGGTGCTGGCCACTCGCATACTCAATCTGATCAAGAAGCTGGCGAGAGATGTAGGCCAGTTGGCAGTGATGTGGCCGCTCTTTATTGCAGGGCGAGAAACCCGAGATGAAATGCAGCAGAAGGCAGTCCGCCAAACAATGGTCGACTGCCAGCGGTTCGGATTCAAGGCACGTCGGCCCGATACCCCGTTGCTCAAGTTGGCACATGAACTAACTTGTTATATAGAATGTCGATAAAGCCCTCGAAGAACTAGAGAGAGCCTGGTTTAAGCAACGCGCTTTCCCGGAGGGTTGGGTCGACAGGATGGATGATATTCGCACATCGATCCTTCTCCCGTAGATGGCTCTAGGCCCACTGGATTCTCGGCGCCACTTTTTATTGAATGCTTTTTGGTACTGGTACCAGCATGGCTCGGACGGAAAATTTCAGTTGATTCGTTCCTTTTATTAGCGATATGTGGGTTGTTTGGGTTACTTTTTTCACGCTGGCGGGCGTTTGGTTGGGCTGGGCCCTCACGACTTGATTCATGGATTTCGCTTCCTGGTTCGTTTCTCATTTAAGGACACCTGGGTGTCTGGTTATCGTATATAGGACTGTTATTTACTGGTGGGACGGAAGGAAGGACATATGGGATCATTTATGGAATGGGCAATAAGGAATAGACAGGGTGTCTTTGTTCACCATTACCACATTAGCGCTCTCGAACTTGATATTTTTTTTTTCCCTCACGCTATATTACATGCGTTGCTGAAACGCTTCTGCAGCCACCCAAAATGACGGCTAAATAGGAGTATATACTACTTTTGGATAATGTACATTCCATCTCATTCGAATAACTTTTTTACTGAGCCGCTGTTCCCTCATGCTGTTCCCTTCTTGGCGAACCGACTTCCTCTACCGTCTCGGAGACGGCACCCTTGCTGTCAATGAAATGCGAGATACGGTTCCGGGGTAACCAGGCGTCCTCGGGCATGACGAAGTACGAGATGAGAGCGAGGATCGTCACGCCTGCCATGATGATGGGGGCATCTATTCACAAATCACATTAATAAACCAGCACAGTCTTGATTTACGAGGGATAAATGATGCGGTATCTTACAGTTCAGATTCTCCCCCGTCACGGGAAACGCGTACGGAGAGAACAGAATCGCAACGACCCAGGCATTCCAGAACACGCCGATGAACTGGAAGGGCTTGCTCAGGCGGCCCAGACTCCATTTGGGCTTGGGGAAGCGCTTGGGCGTGCAGAGCAGGCGGCCGAGGCAGATGAGGCCGTATGCGGCGGCGCTGGGGACACCGGCTGCGGAGACGAGGGATGTGAAAGCCACGCTTGATGGGAGGAGGGTGCAGGTGACGAGGGCGGCGACGGTCCAGACGACGACGACGGCGTTGCGGGGCTGGCCGTTGTGGACGCGGGAGACCCAGCCGGAGAAGGGGAGGACTCCGTCACGGGCGACGGCGAAGACGAGACGCGAGGCGGCGACGATGGCGATGGCTGTGTTCTGCGGAAGGGTCAGAGTTTGCTTTTGGGGGTGTGGTGAGTGAGAGACGACTTACAAGCCACAGAGCTACAATGCAGATGATGTTCATGAAGACGTGGCCGCCTTTGCCGAGGACAACGGCATATAGGGACACAAATGGCTGGGGGGAGCCAAATGAGAAGAGGGTATCGGCGTCCGGCTGGAAACATCAGTAACCTATGCGTACATGAATCGGGGAGAACGAACCGCGCAGAAGAGGAAAAGGATGATCGTCGCCAATCCGCCGACTCCACTTGCGACTGTACTCCAGAAAATACCACGAGCGGCTGTAACTGACGCGTTCTTGGTCTCTTCCGCGACGTGACCCGAGGCATCGAATCCAATCAAAATACCTGCAGTTGCCAGGTAGGAAAGACACCAGTTCCAGGCTGGCGGGGCACCGGTACCGTTGTAGGTGGACATGAAGGCTTCGTGGGCAGACCGGAAGCCCCAGGTGTCATGAGCGCCGATCGGAAGCCAGATGATGTTCAGCACGAAGTCCAGCAAGACCATTGAGGACGATAGGTAGAAGACGAATCGGAAATATTTGGCTAGAAGAATCAGTACAGACTAAACAAGGATTATCACGATCAGCTGGAGCTACGCACGAGGCAAGAAATTGAGCAGTGCAGCCAATGCGAGCAAGATCTCGGTACAGATCCATTGCACTGCCCGAAACTTGACATCACTAGTGTCAGTGGGAAAGTCGACATTGAAGACTGTCAACTCCTGTTAGAGATAGGTCAGCTCGGCCCCTGGTTACCTGGTGAACACACTTGCAAGCTTACCGAGAGCATATAGTTCACAGCGGCCTGAGTGTTACTGGCGCAAAAGGTAGTCCAGGCAGTGGTACTCCACCAAGCAACGGTGAAGCCAAGAAGTCTTCCAAACCTAGGACCGCCAGCTTCGGCAGCCCATAGATAGATTGAGCCTGCAGACGGGGACGCAGAGCATACTTCCGCGATGACCGCGGCGGTGATGAATGTGAAGACCATAGTAACCAGATAGCTCGTCCTACTCATTGTCAGTTTCAATGTATCTGAAAGAGCGCTCCTGACTTACCAATAGGCTAGATTACCACCAGCTGCAATACCAGTACTGAAAGTCACACGAACTCCACCAACGAAGTAGAGCGCAGCTGAGCATGGTATGTCAGTGATGCTAGGGAACGAGCGCTTTGACAAGAGCATATCTCACCAAATGTCGTCGAAAAGTTCTCAAGGAGAGTGTATGTTCGATGAAGCACCTGAAGAGCGTTGTAAGCACCAAAGCTCCACCTATTATATTGTGGACCGGAAGCATACTGGCTTGTAGCCCATGGATTTCTGCAATTTGAGTCAGTATTGATATTCTCACTATCATTATTGCAGTTCATCTCCTTGCTCGCAGGAGTAGAAAGTCTATCCACTAACCAACAGAGCCGCATCATCTTGCGAACTTGTTTCGCTTCTGTCTTGTTCACCAATGACAGGGACCTCATCTGGGTCGACCAGAAGGTCTGAATGGTTTTGGGTCGTGGGAGCCATGGCTGTTGTAACGCCTTGACGAAAGACCTCAAGTAATGACAGTGTCCAAAACCCTCACTCCTGAGGCTCAAAGAATACAAGAAGGAAGGAAAATTGAAAATCAAAAATTCCAATATGTTGTCGTCTCTTCGTAGATGATTTGAGTTTTGTGGATATCTTTTGCACGTCCCGCCCAGGACCTGCCAACCCCACTGTTAGCGGCGAGGAAAAGTTTAAACGGCAAAAGGATATGCAGGAGATAGTCCTTGGTTCGTTTTGGAGAGTTCAAAGCCTCCAATATGCCGCGAACTAACGAACAACTTCATTTGCCGAACGAGGTAAGGGCCTAGAAGAAAAATCTTCACTTACTCGCTACCCAGGACTACGTTGAAGCCTTGTCTTCCAAGCTTCGATTCGGACCCCGGAGATGTCTGGTCCGCAGGAGATTCAACGACTGAGCACACTAAAAACGAGGCTAGGGACGCTGAGGCCAGAGCACTGCTTTTTCTTTTTTTTCGTCTTCCAGCCAAAAAAGCCAGGTGGTGGAGTCTCCAATCAGAGCTCACTGGACGGAGCGCACGTCCGTGGGTCATTACCCGGGAAGCTGTCCCTTTAGGATCAAATTTGTTGCATCCTCGAAATGAACGACAATGAAGCCAAGGGGAATCTTGTCATTTGCTTTCTCAAGCCTGTTGGATTGGCTCATCGCCATTGGTGCTTTTTCAGCATTATGCTCGTCGAAAGGACTGGTTTGGCCATCATCTTGAGGCCCTCAGATTGAATGACAAGAGCTGGAAAGATGCGGGACTAAGACTGGTTGAGCCGATCACATCATCGACAGTTATCGCCCCACCAGTCATGAAAGACAGGACAGCTTGAGATCATATAACCCATCTTAGATTGTGCAGTATAGTCATACGATGGACTAAACTTGCATTGATTTGCAACAATTCGATGGAACCATCATCTTCAGTATCATTTGTGCTAAGAGGGAAGAATACAACTGATGTGACCGTGAAGCGTCATTAGATCAATAAATCACGTGATATACACTGAATATCAGTTATCCTACAATCAATCGCCGTTCTCTTGGCCCCATATTGACAACTTGAATAGAAGTGCACATTAAAGAATCATTGTCTCAGATGGTCTGTTGGCTGAGTCATTGGCTCTCATTTTGGCTTTCATTCTGCCAGATGAAACATACAAATTTTACAAGCCTGACATATTTGGCGGCCCCATTGCTGGGCTACAACAAGTCTGCGGTAATTTCTCCTCCAGGATGATTATTCAGGCCACTGCTGCAGAACAGCAGTTACTGCCCGGCTAAAGAAGCTCTACTTCTCTTCGAGGATGAACTTGGCAAACACTTTGCGGCACTGACTGCTAACAATAGCCCCCAAATCAATAAGGGTGAAGGTCATTTGAGCTGTGCTTCACTCACATCGGATGGAGAACACTTTGAAAGCAATGTCTGAAGACGGCATTCAGGCAGTGAATGACAAAGAACCCTCTATCTACTAGGCTATGACCTTCCTCTATCTCTCGAACTCTCCTCCATCTACTTCTCCCACGCCAATCAACGACGTACACTCCTCTTTGACCGAAGGACTTCGCAAAGCATTACTTCAGCACAATGTCTGAGATTGAAATTGATATCAAAGTAAGTCATATGCTCATATCCTCATAAACGCAATGATTACTGACTTCCAATTCTCGTCCAAGCTCACGGGCTTGCCAGAATTGGTCCTTGGCGGGTTGCAGGAACTTCGCAAAGAGTACATCACCGACTCTGACGGCCCTGAGGTCAACGCTTCAGAACCTGGACAGCGCTCTGTCAACTGAGACTAGAAATTGCAAGGGACAACTCACAGAAGACCGTTCGCGTTCTCAAAAAGGAGAAGAAGAAGATGATAAGGTCACACAAAGTGATGGCCTACATCAACTCAGCCTGCGAACGGTCTCAATCATTGCTTGCATCATACTTTCCGTTTGATATGGATGACTCCAGGTATGAGAGGCAGGTCACATTGACTCTAAAGGTCACCATCAAGCCGTTACTTGCGAACACAGATGCCGCTACCAAGATCTATGTGGTGAGTTATCCAGCTGCTTGGGTGTGTGTATCTCTCTGAACCGGGCCCTGGGACAGGATATCGACGAAGATTTCTATTAAAGGCTTGGTACATTCTGGCTACATTGCCTGGCCACATGCGAGTGCATATGACTCTGTTATGTCGCGCCCTCTTCGTCCACAAAAAGGGTTTTATGGAGTCCAATGAAGGAAGGCGATACTTCAGGAGAGACGCTAAATACCCAAATCGAATTTGAATACTGTCCTCCTTCAGAGAGCTTTATCTTTCGTATGCCATGATTGATAATCTTGCGAAGTACACGCACCCTTGCAATGAACTTACTGGATCTGATCAAATGGCGAGGCCAGAAAGCTCCAGGAGATGAGTCAGGAGATTTTTTGTAATAAACACAAGACTTCCTTTCCAGCATTAATAAATGGAGGTCAACAGCAGTATATTCTGCTTCCACTTAGGTCGTATCTCGCATGTCCGTCTTCATCCAGACACAACATCAACAGTAGGCGACTCGGCCATCTTACCAACTTAAACGCAACTCCAAAAAAAAACCCTAGCTTCAAGTCCCAGCTAAAGGCATCAAACACTTGAGAACTCGTTACTTCGCTTATGAAACACTTAGGAGAACTGCTACCTACAATCCATTTTTGAGCTCTAAAATTGATTCTGTAACTGTTACTGAACGGATACTTTCAGCAAACTTGTCAATAAGCCTTGGGCGGTTGCCGAAAGATCCTAAAGTGCGTATTTCTTTTTCGTTTTTGTGCATATCTGATTGCAGTTGTACTTACAGGAAAATGAATCAAGTCTGCCGATTCGCGTGCAGTCCATGACTTGCGAGGGTTTGATATTCTGCCTTGGCTTCTTGTTATCGGTACTTGATACAAATTATAGCTCAATCGGGTTTGTGCATAGGAAACCACGATGTAGCCCGTCTACTCATTTGACGAGAAATACTTGAATCATCCGAAATACTATGGGAATAACACTACATCTGCATTGATCTCATGGCAGACAAACACTCTTGTATTATACTGACTATGTCATGGTGTATATAGAGCATGCAGGCATATACAGCAGATGCAAAACGAATAACAAGTCATATCAAATAAACCCAAAAGCAACGATTCCTGCAACACTCTCACTTGCGTGCCTCAAGTCCAGCTTTGATGGCTATTCCTAGTTAGCATTTGCCCAAGAGTTGACAATGAGGAAACTCACCATCACAAGAGGCTTTCGCATCTCCAAACAACATCCTCGTACCAGGCATGTAGAACATGGGGTTGGGCACGTCGGCTACATTCTCTTAGTGATCCGTTTCGGACAGGGTGAAAGAACTTACCGTATCCGCTGGACATGCCGCGCTTCATCACAATGACTTCCTTGCTCTTCCAGGCATGCAGGACCGGCATGCCAGAGATCGGAGAGTCGGGCTCCAAGGCAATAGGGTTGACGGTATCGTTTGCACCGATCACCAGGGTGACATCTGTGTCCGGGAAGTCGTCGTTTATCTCATCCATTTCGAGTACGACTTTGTCGAGTCAGCCCTTATTGTCTGGAATCTCGAAATGTGTGGCAGGACTTACTGTCATATGGCACTGAAGCTTCGGCGAGAAGCACATTGCATTGTCCGGGCATGCGGCCAGCTGCAGGATTAGGTCAGTCAAGATCCTCTAGAACCCGCTGAAATGAACTGAGATGAAGGAACGTACCAACTGGATGGATGGCAAATCGTACTTTGACGCCTTTAGCGCGCAACATTCGGACGATTTCTGCAAGCGCGTATTGTGCCTTGGCCACAGCCATGCCATAACCGACCACCTGGAGCACAGTCAGCCTTGAGCATCGAAGAGTGAACATCAACATACAATAATTACGCTCTCTGCATTTGATAGGGTCTCCACCGTATCGTCCACCGTAACTTGAGTAACCTGGCCCTCGATCTTCTTCTGACCCTGTTGCGGGGCCGCAATGCCACCGAAGAGGACATTGGTAAGAGATCGATTCATAGCGACACACTAACTCCAGTCAGCAACATCCGCGGGTAAGAACATAAAGGCACTAACCATGATGTACGACAGGATCGATCCGCTGACCCCAATCAACGATCCAACGCTGGTAAGTAGTGGATTGTTGAGCATAAAGCCCTCGGCAACCAGAGCGAATCCCGAGTATGCATTAAGGACAGTAATAACGACAGCTACATAATGTTAGTGACCTTCTCCAGTGTGATGCGCGGGGGCATACGCATATCAGCTCCTCCAATGGCAGCCGTGGTCGTATAGCCTTTCAGGAAGCTTAGGACGGTATTTGCGCCCAAGCACGTAGCAGCAATGAGCGGAGACGCAGGGCCCATCGATACAAAAGCTCCCATTGTCGCCAGGTTTGTCCCAAGCAAAGTCGAATTAATAACGTGGCGGCCGGGAAGAATCGTGGGTTTTGACGACATGCGGCCCGCAAGCTTCAGGAAAGCTACAATGGAACCAGTAAACGTAACGCCACCTGTCCAGCGTCAGTAGTGTATCAATCACCTGAATCTGGGATCATACCAATGAGAACACCAAGATACGCAGTCACCATATGCAACGTTGAAATGTCACCAATATCAGCCATCACGCTTCCAATACTTGTCAGGACAGCAGCCAGACCGACGACTGAATGAAGGGCCGCCACAGTCTGAGGTAAGCTAGTTGGGGTGATGCGGCGCCCAATTAATGCTCCTGTAAGAATGTGAGCCAAACTCTTGTAGTGACCATAGATAAGGTCAGCGAAACAGGCAGAACATACCAACTAGAGCACCACCACCAGCCATTGCTCCGAATTGAGCCAGGACCTCTGGTGAAAATCCTACAGCAGCAAGAGATGCAAGTATACCAGAAGCAACTCCCAAAATACCAAGAATGTTTCCACGGCGAGCAGTTTGTTGGGAAGCAAGGCCGGAAATCGAGCCTGGTTGCCTTTAGTACACGGATCGGAACGTTCGTCACAACTCCACATACTGATGCAGAGAAGAGTGCTGACAAGATAGCCAGCACTCACTAAACCAGCCATTCCAGTGGCAGCTGCTGCTATGAATCCACCACCGAAGATAACAGCGGGTATCGCGTAGAGCCATGGATATTCGGGCGGGTCAGTCGGGCCTATATGACGGTAAGTGCTTCATCTTCAATCGGGGTGAAAGACTGACGCTTGAACATGTCTAGCATGCGCTTGGTTATAACAAAGCCTCCAGCAACGTTCATCGATGCCAACAGGACCGAAACCGCTCCGAGAGCTTCAGGTATCGTGCTAGGCGTATAGCCTCCACCCATGACGAAAAGACCACCGATGCCGACCATGCCTAGAATCCATGCGTGAGGATGCTACAATAACACTTTGGAAATATCATACCTACTCACCTGAGATTGCATTTGTCACACTCATCAAAGGAGAGTGGAGAGCTGGAGCAACACCCCATACAGCACGATAGCCGACAAGACCGGCAAGCCCAAAGGTCATCATGTTGCTCATGAAGATGGGACCAGTGGCTTTTCCTAGGGCAAGTGCAGTTCCCATACCAGCTGTAACAGTTGCAACATCGCGAGTAGCCTTTTGCCAGGGTGTGAGCGATAACTCGGCTTGGTCCTTGGTTGGAGTCGCAGCAGCTGCGGGTTTAGGTGGCGGTGGTGCTGGTCGAGGAGCTGGGGGTAGTATCTCGCCGTTGAGGGTAACAATAGAGCCGCGCACAACCTCGTTCGACAGGTCAATGCCGAACGATTTCTCCTGCGGTGCCATGGATAGAAGAAACTTGGTGATATTGTTCGAATAGAGTGTGGATGCTTGGGTCGGGAGGCGTGACGGGAAATCAGTATACCCTGAAATGGTCAGCATGAATTACTGAGATCGGACAGAGTTGAACTCAAACTTACCAATGACAGTGACACCGTTGTAATTGACCAATTGTCCTGGAACCGTTGCTTCACAGTTACCGCCAGCCTCAGCTGCAAGGTCAACAATGACAGATCCAGGTTTCATGGCAGCGATCATCTACTATGAATCAGCTCGTGTCGCAAGGACGAGGTTGTTAATCATTCAGACCTCCTTGGTAATGAGTTTTGGTGCCGCCTTGCCTGGAATCAGTGCTGTAGTGATAATGATATCAACGTCACGGGCCTGTTCCATGAAGAGCTTCATCTCTGCGTCATAGAATTCCTTGGACATTTCCTTCGCGTATCCGCCCTGGCCAGCGCCTTCTTCCTGAATTTCGACCTCGATGAATTCGGCACCTAGAGATTGAACCTGTTCACGGGCAGCCGAGCGTGTATCAAAGCCACGAACAATGGCGCCTAAGCGACGGGCCTATGCATCGTTGGCAGAGAACTTTGACTGTCAAGCAGTGCGGACCTACCGCAGCGATGGCGCTCAAACCAGCCACACCAGCGCCAATAACCAAGACCTTGCTAGGAGGTATCTAATGCAACAATCAGTAACAGCTCCCTTTTCGTGGAGGTGAACAACCTTTCTAAGAAGCATGGGTTAGCAGGTCAATATCTCAATGGGTTCCGCATCTCTTACCCAGCAGCTGTAACTTGACCAGTTAAGAAACGACCAAAGTGGTTCGATGCTTCTAAAACAGCCTTGTACCCGGCAATATTGGCCATAGAACTTGCCTCCCCGTTAGCATCGACCACCTTTTGATCTGGTCTGCTCGTAAGCCCGTGGTAACTCACCTGAGGGCATCGAATGTCTGGGCACGAGATATCCGAGGAATCATATCCATGGCGAAGGACGTGACTGCGCGTGACGCAATAGCCTCCACCAACAGCTTATTCTGGGCAGGATACAAGAACGATATCAGGGTGCTTCCCTGGCGGAGGGCTTCGACTTCATCTATGGGGCCCTCCTGTCGGGGACTACGGACTTTCAAGACGATATTACTTTCGGACCACACAGTAGCTCGGTCGACCAGGGTAGCTCCGGCTTGTTCGTAGGCCTGGTCATGGATCTGGGCTTGTTCACCGGCACCGCGCTCGACTAGTACGCGCGAGAAGCCTTTCTTCAGGAGCAAAGTCACGTTCTGCGGTGTGAGAGCCACGCGGCGCTCGTT